TAATTTGTATGTATGTCTATGTATATATCTTTTCTTCTCTTTTCCTTCTCGCGCCTCTCTCCTCTCTCTCTCTCCTGCTCTCTCTCTCCCTCTCTCTTTCTCTCTCTATCCCTCTCTCTCTCTCCTCGTCTGTCTCTTCTTCTCTCTCTGCTCTCTCTCTCTCTCTCTTCTCTCTCTCTCGTCTCTCTCTCTCTCTCGCCCCTCTCCCTCTCCCTCTCCCTGCTCCATCTCCCTTCTCCCTCTCCCCTCTCCCTCTCCCTCTCCTTTCCCTCTCTCCTCCTCTCTCTCATCCCTCTCTTCTCTCTTCTCTCTCTCTCTCTCTCTCTCTCTCTCTTCCTCTCTCTCTCTCTCTCTCTCGCTCTCTCTCCTATATATTACACAATACACATTACACGGCGCACACACACACACACATATATAATATGTGTGTGTGTGTGTACACCCAAACATATATCCCTTTTACTGCTTAAAGGCCCCCCGGTGGCAGTCATGTCACCTCCGGTCATGTCACCTCCGCCCGTCACTGCAAAACAACACAACAACACCGACGAGAAAATCATAAATCATTTTGCTTTATTGTTGCAATGGCCTTGTGTTGTGGAGAAGATGTATTTGTGTTGCTTTCAGATGGTGTTAAATGGTGACGATGATAAAGATATTTCATTCTAAGCCATGGTGTCGATGATGTCACTCGTTTGACAATGACTTTGCTATGAATGTAAATATCTTGGGGATACTAAAAGGATAATCAAGTCTGGGGTAGATGGTATGCTTGTTAAACATACGATAGTTATAACATACAGGGAATTTTATGGGATACTTAAAAAAATAATCAACTTTAGGATATATGGTATGCTTGTTAAACATATGATAGTTATAACATACAAGGAATTTTATGGGATACTAAATTAATAAATCACTGGGATATATGGTATGCTTGTTAAACATAGGATAGTCATAACATACAAGGAATTTTATGGGATACTAAATTAATAATCAGCTCTGGGGTATATGGTATACTTGTTAAACATACGATTTTATACACATACAAGGAATTTTTATGGAAACCTTAAAATAAATCACTCTGGGATATTATGGTATAACTTATTAAACATAGGATAGCTTTATCATATAATGAATTTTATGCATCGGAAATCTAAGGCATGGTATAGTATATTTTGATATTATTGCCTTAGATGAATAACCATTGTAGTATGGTTGATATTATGCCTTAAGAACGAATAACATTAATAGTATGGTTGATATTATGCCTTAGAACAATAACATTGTAGTATGGTTGATATTATGCCTTAGACGAAACAACCATTATAGGGTATGGTTGATATTATGCCTTAGACGAATAAACATTATACGTATGGTTGATTATTATGCTTAGACGAATCACATTAGGTATAAATAGATAAACATTATATGTATGGTTGTATTATGCCTTAGACCGAATAACATTGTAAGATGGTTGAATATGCCTTAGGACGAATAATTATAGTAATGGTTGATATTTATGCCCTTAAAAATGAACAACATTATAGTTATGTTGATATTTATGCCTTAGATGAACATTATAGTATGGTTGATATTGATGCCTTAGACGAAATAACATTAAGTATGGTTGATAATTATGCCTTAACAATAACATTATAGTATGGTTGATATTATGCCTTAAGACGTAATAACATATAGTTATTGGTTTGATATTATGCCCTTAAGACCGAATAACATTATAGTATGGTTGATATTATGCTTAGACGATTATAATTATAGTATGGTTGATTAATTATGCCTTAGAGACGAATAACTTATAGTTGAGGTTGATATTATGCCTTAGACGAATAACATTATAGTATGGTTGATTACCTTAATTATGCTTAGAGAGAATAACAATTATAGTGATGGTTGATATTAATGCCTTAACGAATAACATTGTAGTAATGGTTGATATTATGCCTTAGACGAATAACATTATAGTATGGTTTGATATTATGCCTTAGACGAATAACATTATAGTATGGTTGATATTATGCCTTAGACGAATAACATTATAGTGAGGTTGATATTATGCCTTACCGAATAACAATTATAGTATGGTTGATTTATGCTTAGACGAATAACATTATGTATGGTTGATATTATGTGCTTATGAGAGAACATTATAGTAATGGTGAATTTATGCCTTAGACGAATATAGTATGGTTGAGATTATGCCTTATGAACATATAGTATGGTTGATATTATGCCTTAGACGAATAACATTATACATTATATGTATGTGATTAGACGAATAACATTATATGCCTTAGAACGCAAAACATTATAGTATGTTTGTATTATGCCTTAACGAAATAACATTATAGTATGGTTGGTATTATGCCTTAGAGACGAATAAATTATAATATGGTTGAGATTATGCAGTAAACATTATAGATGGTTGATATTATGCCTTAGACGGAATAACATTATAGTAATGGGGTTGAGAATTATGCTTAGACGAATACATTATAGTATGGTTGAATATTGCTTAGACGAATTTATAGTATGGTTGATATTATGCCTTAGACGAATAACATTATAGTATGGTTGATATTATGCCTTAGACGAATAACATTATAGTATGGTTGATATTATGCCTTAGACGAATAACATTATAGTATGGTTTGATATTATGCCTTAGATGAACATTATAGTATGGTTGATATTATGCCTTAGACGAATAACATTATAGTATGGTTGATATTATGCCTTAGATGAATAATATTAATAGTATGGTTGATATTATGCCTTAGACGAATAACATTATAGTATGGTTGATATTATGCCTTAGACGAATAACATTATAGTATGGTTGATATTATGCCTTAGATGGATAAATAAATAACATAAATGGATAGATAAATAAATAAATTATAATAAATAAATAAATGCTTTAGATGATAATAAATAAATAACATTATAGTATGGTTGATATTATGCCTTAGATGAATAATATTATAGTATGGTTGATAATGGGGCTCAGATGAGTAATATTGTTCCATATTGCGGTTCAGGTCGTGCTTAGATTGCTAATAATTGGATCAAATGACGAGATTAATGTTAAACACCCACAGTCGTGTTAAAAATCTAAACTTAGAAAACGGAAAGTTTTCTCCTCGTAAAAAAAAAAAGATAAAAAAATTTTTGAAAGAAAAAGATAAAAATTATTTGAAAAGAAAGAGATAAACAAATTATTTTGAAAAGTGATTAGAAGTGGATTTTCTTCTCAGATTCGCGAAAAAATGCGAATTGAGACTCAGGTTCCGTGTTGTGGTAGCTCTCCTCTGCCGCTGCCTCTCCTTGTTCTTGTTCTTATAGTGGTGATAATGGTTATTGTTATCATTGTTGTTGGTCTTCTTCCTTTTTTATGGTGATGGTGGTTATTGTTTTATCATCATTGTGGCTGGTGGTGGTGTTTTTTTTTTTTTTTCTTCTTCTTCTTTCTCCCTAATATGTACTTAATTGCTGTCTCTCATTGCCTTGCTTCGGTTATTAATTTCTCCCGTCTGTGTTTATTACGGATATAATTTCTATATTCCCTCTCTCCCTATTCCCTGTTTAGTGTCTCTCTATCTCTCTCTGCTCTCTCTCTCTCTCTCTCTCTCTCTCTCTCTCTCTCTCTCTCTCTCTCTCTCTCTTCTCCTCCCTCCTCTCCCTCATCTCATCTTCCTCCCTCATTTCCTCATCTTCCTCCCTCCTCCCCCCTCTCCTTCCTCTTCCTCCCTCCCTCCCTCCCTCCTCCCTCTTCTTCCAACCCTTCCTCCCCCTCTCCCCCCCCCTCTTCTCCCTCCTCCCTCCTCCCTCCCTCCTTCCTTCCTCTCCCACCTTTCCTCCCTCCTCCCTCCTCCCTCCCTCCTCCCTCCCTCCCCTCTCCCTCCTTCCTCCTCCCTCCTCTCCTCATTCCCTCATCTCCCTCCCTCCTTTCCCCCTTTCCCTCCCTCCCTCCCTCCTCCTCCCTCCCCCCCCCCCCTCCTCTCTCAAAATTAAAGTATAAAAGAAAAAAACAAAACAAACCCGCCATCTTAACCTTGTTCCACAAACGTATTATCAACTAAAGATAAACACAGTGAAAATACACGTGACTGATTAATGGCAGACCGATATTGAAGACGTGTCCCTTATAAAAAAATGTTGGAGATAAAACACACTATCGCTAAAATTAAGAAATTATCGCCGAGCTGAGAAGGTTAGAATCTTTGAACTTTTATTATGGCAACGATGCTAACAGCTGGTGGCGGTCAGATGAGTAAATATAGAACGTAGATTTTGAATTAATTTGTATTTTTCTCTCCTCCCAGCGGGTTATTTCATTGCGTTATTTAATAGAGATAACCCTTCAGCTGGGAACTTGATCGTGGGTTTCAGGAAGAACATTTAGATGAACACATGTGAACAGATAAGTTAGAATTTGCGTGTGTGTGTGGCTGTGCACTTCAGGTTAACCACAGCCTTAACGTGAGCTGTCCGTACTTCGTTATGGCTTCGTTCTAGCTTTAACGAATGTTGAGTTACTTGAAGCGTTAATTTTTTATGGTGTTAAAGGGATAGGTAAGAGATTTAGAGGAAAATCGGGGAAGGGGTAAATGATATTCAGATGTTGAGGTTTCGGTATCATGAGATCACGAAAAAAGCAAAGCAGAAAGAAAATGTATCATTGGTGGGATTTATATATACAAGGGTAAATGCAGGAGGTTCAGATCCCGACAAAACTGGTCTGTGGTCTCTTCCGAACGTGCACCTGGAGAGTTCGAGACTTCCCTCAAAAATTATCAAAGAAAACGCACGAAATTCCAATCGGATACTAAAACAAGTACTCTCAGTATATGTAAAACAATTCGAACCATTACATAAGCCTTCAGAATAGAATCTAAAACCCGTATGAGCTTCACAAACCGGGGATTTGTCCTCCGAACGAAGCCGATCTCTTTAAGAGCGGGAACGGCGGAGCACACATGGCGGAACGGCGCACGCGAATGTCATCAGCCGCCTCAGTGTGAGTCTCGCGGGCGGACAGAGCGGACGTACGACTTTGCGCTCCCATCCCGGCGGCGTGGCGAGCTAGAGCGTTTCGACGTGTAAGAAAAGAGTCCCGGTTATAGTGTCTGTGTTAAAAGTGTGCGTTAAAAAGAGAGACAGGGTGCTAGGAAAATATCCTGTCCGGGAGTGTGTGTGATTTTTTTTTTTTTGAGGGAGTTATTTGATCGCGAAAAAAGATATTGGAATGTCAAGAGTACGCGATGATGTGGTATTCAAGTGTGTGTCACGGCGCGGGTGGTGTCTTTGTTATGACGCCTGACACGACCAAAGTGGTTCGCCGATGCACTTCGTTGTAAAAGCCACAGCACTTTGCAAATCACTTTTTTTTTGTTGTTGCAACGAAAACCACGAACCACCCCCTTTTCCTTTTACTCCACGAGGGGAAAAAAGTGACCGAAATCGATATTGTGGTTTGAACGGAGGGGAATTAAGTGGCTGAGGTGGTTTTTGCGTCATGTGGTGCCAGTGCCAGTGCCCGCGATGGAAGGACAGAGCCAGAGGGAGTGCCGGAGCAGAGGATCATGGACCAGACCAGACGGAAGAGATGGAAGACCGTGTGCGGAGTAGGAGAGGGGAGAGGAGGAGGAGAGGGGAGACGAGGAGGTGGTGGAGAGGAGGAGGAGGAGGAGGGGTCTGGTTGAATCAATACTGACACCCCTCCTCCTCCTCCTCCTCCCCCTCCCTCCCCATCCTCCTCCTCCTCCTCCTCTTCCCCTCTCGGAAACCCTCTCTCTCCCTCCCTCCCTTCCCCTCTCTCTGGAAACCCCTAGACTCTAGTGTTCACGTTTTTATTTTCCATCGCGTTGCCATGAACAATTTCCAGCACAAAGGAATAATATTGTACAAACGTTCTCATGATTATGATCAAACGTTTTGTGTACCAGCTGGTAAGGTTAAGGGTGTATCAGGAAAGGAACGTTATAAGAACCCCCTGAAACGTTATCATCATTATAAGGCTTTTGTTATAACGTGTTTTGATCGTGTTGGATGGGGAGCGAGGGGGGGGGGGACAGGGATAATGTTATATCATTTGATTACTTATTTTTTTGACTTGAGGTGTAGGGTGGGTGGGGTTGGTGGACGGCGAAAGATGATGATAGAGAAGTGAAGAAATGTGTGATAAGTAGGTCTATATATAGCAAGGGTCGTGCTGGACACCTCCGTCCTTGCATGTACATATATATAGAAGTATTGTTAGATATTGATTGATAAGTACTTTTACATATACGCACACACGTACACTTATTGTACAGACACAATGACAAACGAAGACGTAAGTATGTAAAGAAAGCGCGCACGCACACGCACACGCACACACACACACACACACACACACACACACACACACACACACACACACACACACACACACACACACACACACACACGCACACACACCACACACACACACACACACACACACACACACACACACACACACACACACACACACACAGCACACACAGTCTAACAACCATTTACATGATACCAGGCCATAAACACAAACCATGTGGTTATGTTGTGTTACGATTATAACTAGACTTAAAGGCGGGGGGGGGGGGGGCAGGTGTACATGCACATAGGAAGTCCAGTTGAGTGTTTGTCTCATCAGCTGATTTTTTGTGACGTCACGCAATGGCGCCGGTTTATGACTCGTGGTGTAGGGTGTTCGAATTTTGTTGTTTGTTCTTGCTGTTAACGTTAATTGCGGTAGGATTATTGTTGTCACCGTCATCATCGCCATCACCACTAACAGTATCCTCCCTCCTCCTCATTATCATCACTATCTCCTATTCCTCCTCATATTCCGCTTCCTGCTGCCTCCTATTTACTTCCTCCTCCTCTTCCTCGTTTATTTTTTTATTTCACCTCATATATTTTGAACTATTGTTACATTAATCAAATCAACACAACACACACACACACACACACACACACACACACACACACACACACACCACACACACACACACACACACATATATATATATATATATATATATATATATACATATACATTTAATTTTACACTTAACGCGTATTCTTGGTTCCTATTCTTTGTTATTATTATTATCATCATCATTACGTAACAATTGTGAATAACAATGAACATGAAAAGAAAGAAAAGACGTGCTGCATTGTCTATTGAGATGACGATAAGAATAATGGTTATAATGACGATAATGCAATGATAGTGATGGTAGCGATAATCTTGGTAATAGTGAAAGTGTGAAGGACGGTGAATAATCTCGTTAATTTTCGTGATAGAGATGATAATGATGATGTTATTCATAATGGTGATCGTGTTAGCGATGATGATATACGTCAGATTGAGGAGAATGATAATGATTTTGATGATAGCGATAACGAAATCAACATATTTTTTTTATTATTGTTATTTTTTTATGGAATCGTTGGTTGTTAGTGAAGGATTCGTCGTAAGAATGTGTAAAGCTTACGTGAGTAATTAAGATTATCTTATAGGGACTAATTATGTGAATGTAATTGTGTGTGTGTCCGAGAGAGAGAGGGAGAGGGGGAGGGAGGGAGGGAGAGAGGGAGTTAGAGAAAGAGGGAGAGGGAGTTAGAGAAAGAGAGGGAGGGAGGGAGTTAGAGAAAGAGAGGGAGGAGGGAGTTAGAGAAAAGAGAGAGAGAGAGAGAAAAATAGAGATATAAATAGACAGAGAGAGACAGATATAGAGACAGAAACAGCGAGAATGGGAAAGAAAAAGAGAGAATGAAAGGAACAGGAAAGAGAGATCGAGTTTCCAGTTCGCCTTTTTATTTGCACACGAATACCCTCGCATTGGTGTACATGGAGGAAAAAAAAAGTGAATATATGCCTAAAAAAAGGGAAAATATGCCTTTCCAGGATTATTATAGCGATCCGTCAGGCAGTCAGTCACACGGCGCGGTGCATGGCCTTGGCTCGGTGTGTT